AGAGGAGATATAGAGTGTTAAAGTTCTATGTATGTGATGCACCTATCTATGTGATATAGTTTTAAATTGTTTTGTATGAATTCACCTATCGACCGTAGGACGTTAGAGATCCGATTTTTGCCGAAAATATACCATGTAATTCTTTTGTATTTTCTTGCTTGTGGTTATAGCCATGTGTGTGTGATTAGTTATCTGCCTTCCATATAGATGCCTAAGGCACATACATTCACCTTTCTCAAAACGCACATCTGAGATGTTTTCGCTTTTGCTTCACCATTAAAATACTGTGTAATATCGATTCTTGAAATTTGCAGAAGATCTATTCCATGTAAAGATTCTGTTCTCTGATTCTGTGAAAGTAGAGCAAGAGTTTAATAGAAACCAATTTCAGCCTCTAATTCAAATTATAGTTACTACTAAATTGATTGAATAACATATTATTTTTCGACTTATTCCTTGTCTTTCTTTTTTTTTTTTTTTTCATGTTCTTTGATTTTTGAGGGTTTTAAGAAATGGGGATTGTAAAGATTGTTGTTGTTGGTGGTGAGTTTGATTGTTGTCGCTTGGTATAAAGTTGTTAGCTTTGTGAAATAGGGAGGACGCCAGAGAGGGAAAGAAAGAGAGAAGAGAATACGTTGTGTATTTATTTATATTTATTTATTTTTTTTTCACGCAGTGTGTTGCAACTTGATTTTTTTTTTTCCAGCCACCTCATTGGAGTCAGGGGAAAGAAATGGGGATGTATCACCACTGTTTAAAAAAAGAGTTATCTTTCACATTCTTTTTTATAATTTCTTACCAAGTCACATAATACAGAGGAGTCCGGATCATTTGGCGTTGTATCCTGCGTCATTTCCCACTATGGTGCCAGAACAAAGTCGTTTTGGATTTTTTTTTTTTCCTTCGTTGAAAACTTTGAGCAAGAACAGAGAGTCAGGAGAAGGGCGACAACAGCGAGAGAGACGAAGAGGAGGGGGATAGCGATGCCATCTAGTCACTTTATCTTCGTTTTGTTTTCTCTCTCTTCTCCACTCACTCTTCACTTGATCTTGGGAAGAAATCAATTGAAAAATTCATCAACAAGCTATGTAGCACAAGTACAGGTACGAGTACTGGTACTGGTACGATATGGGTGCGTCGATACAGTAAAATCTAAAAAAAGTAGAGTACGAGTACGGCTTGGTACGCTTGTAAAAAAATATTTATTTTAATTTAGAGTAATGCAAAAATTAATTAAATAATTTAATTTGTTAAGATCCAACCTATAATTAACATTTAATACCAAAAGTAAAGGTATAAATCAAAATTAAATGTCAATATATTAAATAACTTACAAACCATAGTTTAATTTTACAATCATGTTAAGTATAAAACTAAAAATAAAAAAAAAGTCTAGTGAAAGAAGTTTTATCTCTGTAGTAGAAGAAAATATTGTTTCAATATACTAGATACGTCTGGATGCGCCAAAAATCAAGAAGAAAAAATTTGGATACTTGTTTCGTGTACCTGGTACGTATACAGAAGTACCATACGAGATATCATATGCTGGTAAGTACCTAGTACAGGTACGGCATGTTTTTCAAAGTACCCATGCTTCATAGACTGGCATCACCCTTGGTCCAAATCACCGGTAGGTAGAGGAATGGTAGGGTTTTAATTTTGGACTTAATAGGGTGTTTTGATTTGAAAACAAATTTCATATTCATAACAACTCTCAACAGATGCGCGTGAATTACACTTTTGGTTAGTTTTGACAGAAATTGTAATTATGCATTTCAATCCAGTAACCACAAGAGGTTATGTGGTGATTTCCAAACGTCAGGGGGTTAAATCATACGCGACCCAAACCATAGGAGGTAAAGTGAAGTTTGCCCTAATTAGAAAGTAGAAATAATCTTCAATTGTTAAATAATTATTTTTTAAAAAAAGTATTTAAGTATCAACAAATTCTAAATAGTGATCTTATGAACTTTTTTTTTTTTTTTTTTTTTTAAATATATAAATATAAAAATACTTCTCGTGTAAAGTAGGGTTGTTTTAACCGTCTATCAAAACGCATTACCTTCTACCATGCTGAGGTGGAATGGTTTGAGAGACACAACCTCCACCGAATCTTTCAGTCTTGGACCTCGTACCTGTCGGATTATATGAAGAAGAAGTTAGTCATTTTTTGTTATTCTATAATGCATCAATGTTGGTTCACATTCACATTTGAAGTGTTTTAGTGTAAATTTGACTTATTCACATTTACATTCATTGTTTTTCGCCGTTTTAAATACTTTACTCACATATATGGTAAAAAAAAGTGTTAAGAGTGCAAATTTAGTGGTGAATGCTACCCACACAAAAATTATTACATTTTTTACATAATATTTACATATAATATAAGTCTTGTATCGTGTGGTTTCTACCCTCATCATATAAATATTGTATAAATTAGCATTGTTCCAGATTTGAGTCCCTACCATAGATGTCCCTTGTTGGCTGGGACAATGCTTTGAAAAAAAAAATTGATATTAAAATTTTATTACAATATAAGCACATTCAAAAAAAAATTATTAAATAAAAAAACAAATGTTTTTTGGCAAAAAAAATAAAAATAACTGTTACAAAATTAAAAATTAATAACTATGTGATTCAATTGTTGGTTGCATTTGTTCTTTTAAATGTATATTTTTATTTTAAAAAAATAAAAGTAAACAATGAGTTTGTCTGATGGATAGACTGACCAACAAGTGAAGCCGAGTCCTATCCAAAAAATAAAAAAAAACAATTAAAGCCGAGTAGATCCAAGTCAGCATTTTGAATTGATGAGTTGGTCTAAAACTGGGCTAGACAGAAGCGTAGTACCTAGATGGAATAAGGATAGTTGTGTCCTCATCCACGGTTCCAGTAAGCTCAGCTTGGTCTGATTATATCGCATTTATCAGATTGATTGTACATCATTCTTACATAATTATATCACATTAATCTTAGAAAATTAAGAATGTAATTTGATTATGCAATTATCAATATTTAATTAATATGTTTTTTTATATCGATACTATATGAATAATTTATTGGGAAAATATAAAAAGAAAAAAGAAAAAAAGGTGAGAAGTTAAAAATAATAATTATAAATTCATAAAAGTACAAATAATTTATGCAAATAAGTGTTGTAATTTATAAATTTACAATTATTTTTTCTATTTCCTATCTTTTAAATATTTTTCTTAATTTATTTACCGTGTTCTACAATATAAATGATTTACATCATTTTGATGGGCTTGCAGTCGTGCCCACCAAAAAGTACAAGAATACCACCTTGTTTGGTCTCATAATTTTAAACCCACTTCTTAGGAAATTGAGTTTTTTTTTTTTTTTATATTATATTATTTTCATTAATATTTTTTAATATTTGACGCAAATATCTTAGTTTTTAAATATACATAACACAAATACACTTAAAACATCTTTTAAAAATTCACCAAATACAAAAAATACAAAAATTTAATATATTTTCATATTCTTGTGTATTTATTGATTTTTTAAAATATTTTTTTTTACAAATATTTCACTTTTAAGGAAAATATAGGTTAGGTGCATTTTAAAAGTAAAAAATTTGTTTAAATGATTAAAAACATTCACTAAAAATAAAAAATTCAATTCTCAAGAAATTTGAGTTCAAAAATTAGAACCAAACAAAGAATTAATACTGTACAGGGAGCAAATATTCAGGCAAGCACGCACTCCTTTCTTCCAAACCCCTGTCTGTCCGATCGACCTGCGAGTACAACGGCGGTGAGCTACTCAGCGGTGTGTGGCCGGGAAACTCCTCCAACGATCAAGTTAGAACACACACAGGGATAGAGAGAGAGAGAGGAGAGAGTTGAGTGTTTAGTGTAAGTCTCACCCAATGTTCATCTGTCACGGCATGGGGGCGCAGACATGCTTATATACCTTTTGTGCCCCAAATCTACTCCCATTAGTCTCTCGACAAGTGGTGCTACTATCCCATCTGTCAACACAAATCTAGCTGAACGCTACCTAACCAAACTGCCAGCCCACACTACTGGGAGCTCGACAGCCGGGCTGCAGCATCTCGGCTATCAACGGCCGTGCTGCATAGCTAGCCAAAGCGCTCCGCTCGCCAAGGTCAATGACGACCAAGCTCGGTTGCATTCCGGCAAGCCAAGCTCGGGATAAGTCATGCTGGTTAGCAGTCGGCCTTCCTACAGAGCTAATGCATGAATCGTGGAACCAAGTGAGGCTGCGGTCATCTCAGTCGAACCCTCGCTTGACCGGCTTCCGCACCAACAAGCCCAAGTAGCTCGGTTCCACAGCAACTGCACCATTACCGACCAAAAATCCTTTCTGGATGGGTTCAAGCTGTCACGGCCCAAATGTGTTCGGCCCATAATTTGTCCGGCCATTACCACGACCCAATCCAAATCATAAATCTCCTTCTCAATTGCCCTTTAATTCCGTCCGCGCAAGCGTGACTGGGATTACCTGTTCTGACCGGGATAATTCTTCCTCGGTTCACAGTCTGCTAGACGGTGATCAGGCTAGTTGACATACCTGTCTTCAAAACTTGCCCGCTCGACGCCTTGACTTGCCATCCTGACTCTTCAATACTGACGCCGCCGCCATTATGACACGTGTCGTGTACTGGTTGGCCTCAAGCAGCCAACCATCACGTCTCTCCAATTCAAATTTTTGGCGGTCTTAGTAGCCTATAAACGCACCAAGCCCTCCTTAAATCTCCTCTTAGTGCCTCTCCTCCTTCCTTGTCGATCCAGAGTTCCTGCCCTTTCATTCTTGCTATTCCAGAGTTCGTGTTCGAAGGATAAGCTTCTGCCCTTAACTGGTAAGTCCTTCATCTCTTGTTATTGTTATTTCATTTGGTATTTCTCCTTTTAGGGCACCAAATCTGTAGGTTTTTGGACATACCCCTCCCCAAAACCCTCGTTTGCCCCTGGTTTCTTCGTTGTTCTTCAATCCCAGTGATGAACACTTGAAGATCTGGGGCAGACCGGGCTCCAGGTCTTCTTTTGATCCCAAAAAACACTGAGACCAAGCAAATTACAAGTTTGCCTTACCCTTAGTAGAAACCGAGGTAGACAAAGGGCTTGGTCGCTCGACCGGGCTAACATCTGGTCCGCTTGAGCGACCGAGCTCCTTGGTCTACCTTTGCAACCGAGGTGGTCTGGCACTCTTCATGACCGAGCTAAAATCAAGCTCATTTTGCCCGACTGCGCTTCCACTTACACTTGCCATCCTTTTCCTGCAGAGTCTAAGGGGACCACACACCAAATACCGAGGCTCTCAAAGACCTAGCAACCGTCAAACAAGCTTTGAGTCAATCCAATTCAACCGAACTAAAACCAATCGGCTAGACATGGGTCGCTACCGCTTCATGGTCGACTCCCCGGCCGCTCTAGCCGCGTTCTAGGAGGAATTCGGTATCCCGGACGATGTGCACCTTGAGCTCGGTGAAGAGGAAACAATGCCCTGGGGCAGACTAGAACAGTGCCCCTTCACCGTGCTTTCCATAATAGAAGGAGGCCTCCGCTTCCCGGTCAACCCCTTAATAAATGAATTCCTGCGGCGCACAGGGATAGCACCAACCCAGGTGTCGACCAACACTTTCCGCATAATTAACGGGATCCACGAGTAGAACAACCGGCTAGGAACAAACCTAGGACTTGCCGAGATACTCCGCCAGTATACCCTCGATCATACAAGCAATGGCCTTGCCTATTACTTGAAAATCCGACCGGGCAAGGAGAAGATAGTGACCGGCACCCTGGACAAGGACTTACACGACGACGATTTTTTCTGGGTGTCCGGTAACTACGACACAGCCGACGTACCGAGCTGGTTCATTAGCAAGAAGTTCAGTTCCTCATGTAAGCCGTGCTACCTTGCTCGGTCGATTGCCTTTCTATACTCTGCTATACTTAACATTTTTCTTCTTTCCTTTGTAGCAATCGAAGCCTTGCAAGCAACTATCACTACCCCAACGAAGCAGCCATCAGAACCGTGCTCCGCTACCACGGATTGCCACGAGCTTCTCGGTTATACACCGACATATAGGTACTCCGCTCCACGTCGGAGTAAGGTCACAGACTTTTTCCGAGCTCCGTCTCCGCCTCCAGATCCCACGCTACCTGACATTCCATTCATCCGTCTGACCAAGGCAGAAGAGATGGCCAAGAGAAGTCGCATCAGGAACCTCATCACGGCTACCTCCACCGAGCTACCGAGCATTTCAACCCGAACAGATACTGCCGGTCAATCGAGCGGGACCGTGGTCGTGTTGGCATCTCCTGCCGCCGGGCAAGCAAGCAGAGATAGCCGTCGGGCTGGAAAAAGGCCACGTACCGCTGACCCCTCCGCCAAGCTAGTTGCGGAGTTAAACACCGAGCAACCCGCGGTGACAGCTGACCCAATACCGCCTTGGAGGCCACAACTCAAGCATCGGGGTAGGGAGATCCCGGCGAATGCTTCGGTCAAAGGTGACAAAGAGCATCTACTCGCCTTTGACCTATCCAAAGCCTTGCTTCTGCCGAGCGACATGGTCGGCAGCAACCATGTACCGGACACCCGGTTGGTGAAGTCCTCGGTCAAGTCCATGACCAGGGTAAGCATTTTTCCAGCTTTTACAAATTTTTCCAAGTGTTTGCTCGGTTCTAATCAGACTCCACTTTTACAGGCCATCCAGAAACAACACTTGGTGTTGGAGCGCATTCATAGACTCCGATAGAAGGTGTCCGACTCTGCCAACCAAGTGGAACACCTTCAGACCGAGCTGGGGCGGTCTAAGGCATCCTTGGAGATAGCAAATACTGACAACTCCAAACTGCTCGGTCAACTTGGGGCAGCCAGAGAGACACTCTTCGAGCCGAGCTAGATGTGCTGAAGCAGTCCAGAAAGGATGAGGTGGACGAAGCAAACAACACCAGTTTCAAGGAGGCTGAGGATAACTACACCAAGCAGGTCAAGGCCACTAAGGACATATTCTTCAAGTCCGGTTGGAAGGCTGCTTGTGAACAGCTCAGCCAAGGATCTAGAACCGACATGTTTGCTTCTCCTCCCGTTACCTTCCTGCCAATGTACATGGTACCCTACGCCAACGACGTCTTCACCGCGT